TTAATTTTATTGTTGTATCATTGAATGTATTTTTTATTTGGTACAAATTTAATTATTGACTGCAGATTGCGCTCAACATATAGATTTCTGTTATATAGCAATGATATATTTTATTTATTTATTAATAACTGTTATTTATCTTTAAACATAAATTTCTATAGCAGCTTATATAAACCTTAAAATGTGTGGACCGCGCGCGTAATCTCTGTGTAAAATACATATATAAGTATAAAATTTATCGCAGCTAACTTTTGTTAAATTTCTTGTTTGACGTATTGAAATTGCGCTGCCTTGGTCCAACTTGCCTCGGTGTGATATTATATGTTCTTATTTACGTGATTAATTATTGGATCGTAAAGTCTTTTCTGAATATATTCGCGAATGCAAGAGGACTTATGAATACGACCCATCATTAAATAAATTATAATAATTTATGTGAAAAATGTATATTTTTTGAATTTTTAAACATATAAAATTAATAATATATTATAAAGAAGAAATATTATAATCATCCTATTATGAAACATTGATAGAAAAAATGATTGTAGAAATAAAAGATTTAATATATTGCATTATTCGAAATTATTTCAGATGGTAAAGAGTTGACAGCACGGTCGTACGCACCGTATGCACGACCGTGGTTGATAGTGTGTTTTTACTGAATTTTTGCATAATTCAATCTCCGGAGATTGGCGCGCATGCATCAATTTAGTATCGCGTTGGTTCAAATTCGTTCGACCGATCGAACTTTTCAAACGTTATCGGTATGTCGCAAAATATAGCAGCCATTCAAAAGGACACTCGAAGATACCAGTGGTATGAAACGCGGTATGTATGTACAGTCTACGCGCGAATATAAAACGGGATCCGTGAAAACAAACAAAAACAACAGCGCGCGTCGGTGCGCGGGCACGCGTGAAATAATAAATTCGACCCAATTGTTTTCCCGTATCAATAAATATACTATCTGCGGATACGGCGCTTTTTTTCGCCCCGTTTGCGCCCGACATAGTCGGGGCAAAGCGCGAAATGAATTGCACGCCGGGCCCGGTGATATCTCTGTGACCCGTGATGGCGCGGGCGCGTAGCGATGCTGGCGTGGGATTGCTTTTTGCTCGATGGCCGATGCCCGCTTAATTCTTTGGAAGAATTCGCTCCGTACCACTGTACAGTGGCTCTCGCTATTTGATTGTTCTGCTGTGATTTGCTGTGTCGTCAGACAGCACCCTCATTTCGATTTTCTCTTTGTCCGGATCACGCAAACATTATTGCAAAAATACTATATGCTTTGACGTTACTTAATTAGAAACATATGATCTTATCAATTTTTTTATTTTTACTAATCATTAAATTGTTATTTTTTGATTAAATAAAAATTTATAAAATTGTTAGATTACAATTGTATTTAATTGATTCTTTAAAAATAATTCAAAAGTTTTGTATTGAGATATTATCGTTATTATTGTATCAATTAAATAACAATGAACTTTATTAAAAATAAAGTAGATGAGAATAAAAAACACTAAAATTTTTAATTTTTATTTGAAAAAATCAGAATTTAAATTTAATCTTAATGTATAAAGAAAAGACCTAGATATACAGAGCCTACACATTTTAAACATCTATAAAATAATACACAGTTAATTTATATATACACTTTAAAATTTATACATTTATATTGTTGAAATATATTATCGTTAAAAATAAGAAAAAATTATTTTTTTACAATTGTGTGTGTCAGAAATGATTACCAGGGCAATAAGTTGCTATAAAGTAATTATTGGTTGGCTTATTAATTAAAGCATTATTTGCCGATTGGCACATAAATAGAAGTTTTTATATTTCTAACGTGTTTCGCAAATTTCCACTGTTACGCAATCGCAGCTCTCGTCTATCTTCTCCGAGCTGTCGTTAGTACACGGAAGTACCATTCACGCCGGTACTTTTTCGCGTACGCGGAAACTTCGTCCTGGAACCTCTTTGCCTTCCGAACACGTTTTTCGTAACTCACCAGAGGGACGCGACGTCGGTCTCTGAGAGAGGACTATTCACGAAGGTAGCCTCTTTCGTGACCGGGAAAGAACTCGGTTCGCGTAAGCCGTGGGAAACCATTCCCAGCCAGCCGTCTTTCCGGTACAAACTGCATGTGCGCTGGCCATATTCGGCTCTATTCCGTCTCGAAAGCAACTCGATAATGAAATTTTTCGCATTGTTGTCACGGAAAATGTATCGAGAAGGTGGTCCCGCTTTATCCTCGTGCGGTAGAGATTATTTTCGCGAAGGGCGTGGATCGATCATCATGGAGTGCTGGTCATGCCGTAAACATTGTTCTATATTCAATATATTGAGAAAGATCGGTCTCGTGTACATGCGCGAATAATCTTTGTGTTGGCAACAAGCTAAAAATGTGTTTACAAGCTACGTCAAAAAAAGATCTCTTCCCACATAAAGCGATATAAAGAGATGAACTATAAAGAGAAGGGGTTTCTAACAGTATTTTTAGTGCGTGAGATAACTTATAGCTTGGTGTATAATGTGTAACGATAAAAGTAAATAATTTATTATATTAAACGTGAATTTTATCGACGTTTATAAGAAATCTTTCTTATAGCGGGTAATACATTTTAGAAAAAATTTTTTTAGAAGAAAAAACATTTTGAATGACAATTATGAGATGTCTTATTTTAGTCGAAAATAGTAAGTTCCTCATTAAAATAAATTCTTTTGCGAATAATTAAATAAAACTTGCAATCTTAATAATTATTTTTTATTTTTGTTATAAATGAAAAGAGACTAATAATATAATATTTTTATTATTACAAAATAAAAATGTATATAAAACATATATATATAATGCAAGATAATTTATTCTTGTTACTATTATTGGGAAAATATTTTAAATTTATATACGTTTAAATAAAGCTTAGTTAAGTTAAAACTTCAATTTTCAATTAATTTATAAAACAGTAAGAGCAAGTATCCTTTTTATAAGCACTTTATAGCATTTATTCAAGAAATTTAAAGAATAAATTTACTCTTTATGTTACAGTATTTTCTAATTAGATAAGTGCGGCATTTAATATTATCATACTGTCATCTTGCCATCCTGTCATCTTGTCTGTTTTATTTAACTATGTATTCTATATATGTATATTTAAGAGACACTGATTAATTTAACTCATGAGCAGTAGCGTGAGAAATCTATTCTATGGCAGAAGCAATGACCTCTTTTATATTTGGATTTAGAAACACAAAATCATATATTTTCTCAAAACATTATTCTATTAGAGACTATGTATTTTGTGCGAAAATAATTTTCGCACTAGTATTAATTCTTGTAGTTAATTTAGCCTTAATTAAAATTACATTTTTTTACATAAAAGCTTTCTTTCTTCAAAAGCTTACTCTGCATAATATAATTCTATATTTCAATTTAACATTTATATATTTATCTGATGAATGTAGATAAAAATTTCAAGATATATAGATAAATAATATATACAGTAATTCGATCAATAGTTTTATATAAATACAAAAAATTTAACCACAGGAGAGAGAAGATTTTTCTGAATTTTTATTCCTATTGAGGCGAGCAGTTTCTCTGGAATATTTTGCTGCGTTTGTCAAAGCAAGAGAGAAAATTGAATGGTTTTGTTCTCATCTGCTTCAGTCTTTATATATTTTTTATATTATCATATCTTTTAGAACGTTCTTGTGTGTGTATATGTAAAGCGGCGCAATGATTAATTCAGATATTTGGATACATGGTGGATTAGTTGAAATAAAAATCGCGGGTAAAAATATATATTAAAACAAGATAAACAGGAACCATAGGAAATGTACAATGTACATAGTATTGTATGATATATGTATATATTTATTGATTCTGATATTTTAGTTGATTTATTTACTCAGATTAGAGGAACAAACATAGTTTCTCTAAGCTATCAAATATATATTCTAAACACAGAGTAATATGTCCGATCATTATTTACTAACTTGGATAAAGCTACGCGATGGGGATTTACTTTGCATGATATATTGTTTGCTTATGCAGTTCGAGTAATTCGAATAATTCACTTACGTTCTCTTAGTTCAGATTCTGTCATATCATTCATGTATTAAGACACAAAGATGCTATGGATAATTATAAAATTTTCTTTTTACTAATCAGATTTATAAAACTATCAAATACATATAGCATAGTTATATATAATAAATATATATATTAAAATGTTTGTATGTTAAAATTAATAAGATCATAATTTTATTTAATTTATAACCATACACAACCATTTGAGAGAGATATATGTTTATTATAGACGATTATATAATATATATAATTATATCTTAATCGTTGAAATACAGCATATTTCTGATCGGCTTGATAAATTTTCTCAAAGTTTCATCTCGCAGCTTGTGGTCTCTCGCTCAAAGACAAGTATATGTGTGTGTTGTAAAAAATACAAGTATATTCACCATCCTAATACTATGCATTCTTTTACCACACCCCATCGAGCTTCCGGTTACGATCTACAACAAAGCAACGTGAGTTACGATCCGTTAAAATCACGCGCCGTAACCGACGCGTCAAAGATCGGTGAAAAGTTTCTTCAATGGAATAAAAAGGTATCTCGTGTACCAAAGGGTAGAAAAGGGGATAGACAGAAAAGGGTGCCAGCCGGACATAGACCGCTGTGAAGATTCGAGCAAATTTGAGATCGAAAACGAGATCTGCCGGGCAAATCGAAATTTTACGAGCGAATCCTCCGTATACGCGAGCGAATGGGGCGCAAATCCCCATGTTCGCGCGTGCTCCCGCGGTGCGGTATACACGCAGAATATTGCGACACGCTTAGACGATGACAGAGCATGATCGGCCCCACCGGGAGATAGTCATCTATCTGGCCGTGATGCTGGTACGCGCAATGTTCTCCGTGTGTTGGTACGCACACGCAACCTCCGGGGTGATTCTCGTTGCAATGTGGTCATTGTTTCAGTGCCACCGGATATCCTGGACTACCCCACCAGTACGGATATGGTGGTGCGGGAGGGTAGCAACGTGACGCTACGGTGCGCGGCGACAGGAACACCGGAGCCGACGGTCACGTGGCGTCGCGAGGCAGGCGGCACGATCAGCTTGTCAAACTGGCACGAAGGTACGTATCTTTGCGCTAGTGCTATTACTATTGCTTTGTCGGACGCCAACTGGGTATGTTATTCTGTCATCGGTTTACTACCTCAGATCAAGGGGTTTTCTCTCGCTCGTTTCTGTACCCCCTTTCAACCCTATTTCATCGTTATCTCGCGTCGCGTACATTGACCGTAATCTGTTCGCAGAATAACGTTTGTGCTGCGAGGCTTTTTCTTACTCGCGCTAAAACAGAACGTTTGTCGCGCCATTTCATGTTGATTGAACGGAATTTTTATTGTTGGTCCGGTCGAATCATTGAGTGAGTTTTGATGGATGGTGCTATGTGAATCGATACGAGTGCGTTTTTTATTGAATTTGCTGTAGATTGAACACGTTCGCAATTGATGCGGACAAAATAAATTTGCTTACTGATTAGAACTGATCAAATGTATGATATACATTTGAAATTAAATTAATTAAAATATAAGTTTTGTTTATTTTTTATAATAAAATAACGGAAAAAGAGAGAGAGAATTTTCAGTAACGAAAAGTTATATCAACAACATTGCATCATGTAATACAAATAGTGCGGCAAATATTTAAGTTTTTAATAATATTGTACCATCTCTTTAATATCACTACGTATACTATATACTATATTTTTTTTTTATAATTACGAAGCGCTTTTTTGATTCCATTGATATTTCTTTATTGCTGTGATATAACATCCAACAATAATTTATTCTTTCACTATCGTTCCGCTTCCTACAGTCTCTCACAATCGGCGAGAAAATTTAACGATTCGTTACACAAAATGGTTTCTTTCCTGATGTTATTATCAGCAAACTGCCACTGGCGCGATGTCTATTGAAATAAAATTGCCGAGAATTTATAATATAAACTCATTTACTTAACCCATTCGGGGAGAAATTAATTTTGTTTACAATTCCGAACAAATTTCTGTCGTTATGCCATCTTTAAGTAAAGTCTACTAATTAACATATAATTTAATTTCTTAATTGTTGTAGAAGAAATGCTATACAAGCGTTTGCGATAGAATATTTTAGCGAGAACTTTCTATTAATGACAATTCTATGATGCATAATGATTGCTGATACTTGAAGTTGAACTGTCATTACAATTTTTACAACTGATTTAATTTTTAATATTTTTTTCAAAAATATAATAATACATTGCAATTATAATAATACAATAATACATTATTATATTCGTACACGTAATTTAACGTTTCCTCTAAAAAATTATAACATACACATAGTTAAACAATTTTAATTAATTCATTAACTTTGCATAAAATCAAAATTGAAAGACACAATCCCACACAATTAAATAGTTTTTGTTTTACAAAATCTCTCAAACGATTCACTATTCTCACAATCCAATCATTCACAACGCTTTTGGTTTCCGGCTTTATTCAATAGTATCTCTCTTGTTTTCCGCTTTGTGTCAGGATCGTTCAGATCTTTCGTTGACTAATTGCACAAGCAAGTGCCAGAGGCATTCTTGATTGTACGTCAGGTGAGGTAGCTAAAGTACCGCTTTGGTCCCTCTCTATTTTGGCTACAGACTTTTCTCTCATCTTATATCTCTGTCGCCGAGTACGTTACAGAGTTTCGAGCTTCGAAAACACTGACGCGACAGGCTAATGTGCAATATATTTGTATTTTTATTCTTTTGTACGAGACCGTGTCAAACAGTACAAAAAAAAACATCTTGCAATGGTAAGATATTCGTGCGATCATGCCATCCATTATTCTATGCTTTATTCACCGGATGAAACTTTTATCTTCCGGGACCGATTTTAAGAAATCACTTTAAGCATTTTGTCACGTCCCGTTGTCCCTTTATTCGTCTCTTCATCTTGCGTTCGTTTTGCGGGAAGGTTCAGTCGCGATTCCATTAGACGATAAGTACCGGAAAATAGAGCATTCCATCGCACAGCTGTGCGCCATCGCTCTTACGATTTTCTCACTCGGTTCGCGCACTTCGTTTGACTCCCAATAATAGTTGGAGACGAAAAGAGAATTCTTTTATCTTTTTATTCTTATACGATAATCCATACTAAGCGGGTTTGCTTTCTGAAGACGATTTTAATAATTTGATGTGCGAATTTACCTCAAAGGTCTCAACAGGTGCGCGAATGGAAGCGCTTTTCAAGATATTGTGCAGACGTCGTTATATATAAATTTCATGGTATATATTTTTAAATGTTACAAAAAGTACACGAGGAATAATTTATATTGTTAAATAAAGGATAACGCAATGATTTTCTAATAATAAAATTAATGGCTATTATAAAATTATTAAAATAAATGAAAAATATTCTAAATACGCATACATATATTTAATATAAATATTTGTACAAATTATTTTTAATATACATATATATATTATATGTATAATTACTTATAAATTTTTTTATATTGTGCAAGTTACATTGTTTTTTGACGATAATATATACATATAACTGTATATACATTAGTAGGCCGCTGATCTGTAAAGGAACTATGTAAATTATATGATAATCAATCTGGAAATAAATTTTACTAGCTTGTCAATTTAATTTTATTGCGCACTCACAATGTGGAACTAATTGTGATTTCAATATACAAATCGATTAGCACGTTTAATTATATAATATCAAAATTAAGGAAATACACATTTTAATTAAACTTGAAATCAATTGTTTCATAATATTAAGCTAGTCGACCGTATTGCAGTATGTGAAACAGAAATTATCGGAAAACATCAGAGAATAAATATTAATTTACAACACATGAAATTACAACTGTGACATACATTACATAATAAGTACTACTTTGTTCACTTTCGCGCATTAATATTTATATTACATTCCATTTAGTACAACTTGCAATCTAATACAAATATGTTATTCAATAACGAATCAATATTTTATTTTCTCAATGTTAATATGTACATCGCAAAATATTTTGTTTTATTGTATATTTTGGTATAAAAAGAAATTTGGATGGAAAAACACATTTAATATGCTTTACCTAAATTGCATGAAAATTTTGCTAAATGCAAAACCTATGATTAAACATATCCTTTGCATTTCACATTCTTGCTGCTTATTACATAATTAAAGTATATGTGTACTGATTGATATATGTTACGTATATGTTATAAATAATATATCAAGAAAAAGAGGATAAAATATACAAATTCATAAATAAATGTTGGTATTATTAATATTGTTGGTATTATTAATATTTAAACAGAATTAAACAGAATTAGTAACAATTTAATAAGTATTTTATATGAAGAAAACTGCTTTTATTTTTATTGTTATTATAATATTTGTATTTGCTAATAGTAATAATTTTTTAATTATTGAATATATCTAAGCGATAATATTATGTAAATTGAAAGAGTAACATTTCTGGCTTCGAGAAAAGGAGAAAAGCATTTTATATAAAGATTTTAACTCGCAAAAGAATTTGTGAGGAATGTGTTTACGATTCAGAATACTTTGTTAAAAATTAATATAGCATTAATGCGTATAATTGGATAGATTGTGTTAGTATTGTCAGATCCATTTGTAAGCGATTAGTGAAGCGTACATAATTCACACGCCGTAATTCACGTTTATATGGATTTATATGCCTGCATTTCTGTATAAACTGTTGCAGCGGCAAGTATCGAAGGTCCGGAACTGGAAATAACACGCATTACGCGTCTCCATATGGGACCGTATCTCTGCATAGCATCTAACGGGGTACCACCGACAGTCAGCAAGCGGATCCTTCTCACTGTTCACTGTACGTAATTTTGAAACGTGATTCTAGATTCTATTTCATGACCAAGGGACACATTTCTATTAAAACAATGTGAAACGTTGCAAGATACGCATAAATGACTTTTTCATTGCAATCGAGGGAAGTATTGTCAAATGCATTTCTGTTTTATTAAGTAAAAAATATTACACGCATGCACGCATAGACACACGTATATATAATTATTTAAAAAAAAAATCTTACATAATCATTATATATTAAATAATTTTAAAAATGAAAATTAGGCGTGTAAAATATCATATTATTATAATTTTTGCTTCAAAATGAAGCTTCTTTAATGCAGTCGAAAAAATTTGGCACTATTCAGTTCCCATTATATCTTCTATACATATATGCTTGCACATAAATAATTTTATGCAGTTCCATGTTCTGTTCTAGAAATTCTTTCTTATGCGTCGCGCTTGCCACAAAATATAATTTAAATTGTCGTACTCGCGCGTGCTGTAAGCGATCTCGCGTAATGACGCCTCTCGGAGTGGGCATGGTGAATAGCTGATCCCGAGGGCCATTGTTTCTGAAAATGGAGTTAAATCTTTCCCGCCGCTGGCTACGTAATTTTGCTATGCGATGTCACGAGCCGCTTGCTACGAGGACAAGTGACATTTCTGGATTGATTAAAAAATAAGAGGAACTTATCCCGTGAAAAAACATTTTAAAAATGAATAGAGGAACCTTTATAGAACCTTTATTTTAAGATCGTATCAAGCGTCAAATATCTCGATGAGTTTGAAAATCTTGATGGATGTTTTATTAAACTTATTTTTTAGCCGTTTAAAAATTTTTAGCATTAAATATATCTATGCCTCAAATTAAAATGTGATTATAATAAAATTTCATTAATATAACGCGAGTAAATAAAGCTTTATTATTTAATTTTTACTTCAATGCAATAGAAAAATTTGTTAATAAAAGACACACATGAACATTTGCACAATTTTATACCCAACATAATAGATACTTAAATTATTAATAGCATAATATTTGCATTTTAATACATATTTTATTAAAATATATTACTTTATATAGTTCAGCCTATGGTTTGGATCGAAAATCAGCTAGTGGGTGCTTACGAAGGACAAAGCCTTACATTGGAATGTCATAGCGAAGCTCATCCTAGTCCTATTACTTATTGGACGAAACCAACAAATGAGACTATTGCTAACGGTGAGCAGATATTTTTAATAATTATCATCTCTAATAATTTCATCACAGAAAATATTTTGTCAATTTTGTCAACAATAAACTAGAAATACACAAAGAACAAAAATATTTATTTTAATATGATTTTTTGGAAGAGTTTGGTGTATTTAAATTTATTATTATCTCAAGTGTGTGCACATTAATATCAACACGTCTTAAAACAATATCATGCTGTTGACAATTCTATCCTTATATATTTCACATTTAAAGCAAATTTTCTTTGTGGCTATTCAAATTACTATTATGTTTCCATATTTATATCTCGAGAACAAACAAAGCAGTTTTTAACTGATAAATTTGTGATTGTTAAAATAATGTTCCGTATTGTGTTGAAAAATATTCTCATTTTATAAATAATATTCGCCATCTGGTAAAGTATAAAAATGAGAGTTTTACTAAAACCGAAAGCTCGTTTCATTCCAATTTGAGATAATTATTATAAGTTTTCTTTTCTTTTCTTTCGCGTGCGCACGCCGGGAGGTGCACGCACGAGCAGTTGTAATGCGATTCGCCTTAATTACACCGCGCTAACGCGGCTGTTTTACTCTAATTGCTACCATGCATCTTTGCGATATGCCAAGGGGTTAAGGGCAAGGGCAGTGGCATTAAAACTTAAGACGTGTGCATGCCATCTCGTGTCGGGTCGCTAATACGTGACAGCACCGTCCGTATAAAAACGCGGTAGGCTGAAATTTTTCTTCAAAGTGTTGTAATGAAAAGGTACATTTGAATTAATTAAAAAAAACGCGGAATTGTTTTGCAAGTCCAAGTTTTTATTAGCTATCGCAGTTTGATGTAGTCACTTAATTAACGTTGGATAGAAGTTCTCGCAACTCGCGGAATAAAATTAGCATTAAAATTTTTATCGATTAATTGTAAAGAAGAGAAAGTCTTTATTATATGATTGTTGCATTTGCGCAAATATTTTTGAATGCAAAGAACTATTATTTTTATGAATATACCTAACGTTATAAATGAGTAATAAACCAATTAAAATGCCTAATTTTAATAACACATTAAATTTATTCTTTCAATCTTAGAACACGGATTCATGCATTCAACTTCGTTATTAGAAATAATAGTAGATAAAATGTGTGTATAATAAAACTTATCTTTCACACGTATATATAATTATTTAAAAAAAAAATCTTACATAATCATTATATATTAAATAATTTTAAAAATGAAAATTAGGCGTGTAAAATATCATATTATTATAATTTTTGCTTCAAAATGAAGCTTCTTTAATGCAGTCGAAAAAATTTGGCACTATTCAGTTCCCATTATATCTTCTATACATATATGCTTGCACATAAATAATTTTATGCAGTTCCATGTTCTGTTCTAGAAATTCTTTCTTATGCGTCGCGCTTGCCACAAAATATAATTTAAATTGTCGTACTCGCGCGTGCTGTAAGCGATCTCGCGTAATGACGCCTCTCGGAGTGGGCATGGTGAATAGCTGATCCCGAGGGCCATTGTTTCTGAAAATGGAGTTAAATCTTTCCCGCCGCTGGCTACGTAATTTTGCTATGCGATGTCACGAGCCGCTTGCTACGAGGACAAGTGACATTTCTGGATTGATTAAAAAATAAGAGGAACTTATCCCGTGAAAAAACATTTTAAAAATGAATAGAGGAACCTTTATAGAACCTTTATTTTAAGATCGTATCAAGCGTCAAATATCTCGATGAGTTTGAAAATCTTGATGGATGTTTTATTAAACTTATTTTTTAGCCGTTTAAAAATTTTTAGCATTAAATATATCTATGCCTCAAATTAAAATGTGATTATAATAAAATTTCATTAATATAACGCGAGTAAATAAAGCTTTATTATTTAATTTTTACTTCAATGCAATAGAAAAATTTGTTAATAAAAGACACACATGAACATTTGCACAATTTTATACCCAACATAATAGATACTTAAATTATTAATAGCATAATATTTGCATTTTAATACATATTTTATTAAAATATATTACTTTATATAGTTCAGCCTATGGTTTGGATCGAAAATCAGCTAGTGGGTGCTTACGAAGGACAAAGCCTTACATTGGAATGTCATAGCGAAGCTCATCCTAGTCCTATTACTTATTGGACGAAACCAACAAATGAGACTATTGCTAACGGTGAGCAGATATTTTTAATAATTATCATCTCTAATAATTTCATCACAGAAAATATTTTGTCAATTTTGTCAACAATAAACTAGAAATACACAAAGAACAAAAATATTTATTTTAATATGATTTTTTGGAAGAGTTTGGTGTATTTAAATTTATTATTATCTCAAGTGTGTGCACATTAATATCAACACGTCTTAAAACAATATCATGCTGTTGACAATTCTATCCTTATATATTTCACATTTAAAGCAAATTTTCTTTGTGGCTATTCAAATTACTATTATGTTTCCATATTTATTTCTCGAGAACAAACAAAGCAGTTTTTAACTGATAAATTTGTGATTGTTAAAATAATGTTCCGTATTGTGTTGAAAAATATTCTCATTTTATAAATAATATTCGCCATCTGGTAAAGTATAAAAATGAGAGTTTTACTAAAACCGAAAGCTCGTTTCATTCCAATTTGAGATAATTATTATAAGTTTTCTTTTCTTTTCTTTCGCGTGCGCACGCCGGGAGGTGCACGCACGAGCAGTTGTAATGCGATTCGCCTTAATTACACCGCGCTAACGCGGCTGTTTTACTCTAATTGCTACCATGCATCTTTGCGATATGCCAAGGGGTTAAGGGCAAGGGCAGTGGCATTAAAACTTAAGACGTGTGCATGCCATCTCGTGTCGGGTCGCTAATACGTGACAGCACCGTCCGTATAAAAACGCGGTAGGCTGAAATTTTTCTTCAAAGTGTTGTAATGAAAAGGTACATTTGAATTAATTAAAAAAAACGCGGAATTGTTTTGCAAGTCCAAGTTTTTATTAGCTATCGCAGTTTGATGTAGTCACTTAATTAACGTTGGATAGAAGTTCTCGCAACTCGCGGAATAAAATTAGCATTAAAATTTTTATCGATTAATTGTAAAGAAGAGAAAGTCTTTATTATATGATTGTTGCATTTGCGCGAATATTTTTGAATGCAAAGAACTATTATTTTTATGAATATACCTAACGTTATAAATGAGTAATAAACCAATTAAAATGCCTAATTTTAATAACACATTAAATTTATTTTTTCAATCTTAGAACACGGATTCATGCATCCAACTTCGTTATTAGAAATAACAGTAGATAAAATGTGTGTATAATAAAACTTATCTTTCCATTGTATTATGTTTACGCTTTTAAATAAAGTAGGTTTATAAAATCACATATATTCATATAAGCAGCGATACAATAAATAAACTTTTACAAAAAAGTGCGGAATAATTATTACTAATAATACGCGAAAATGCACACTTGCACTAATAAATATTAATAAATTCTCTTTAAAGTAACATTATGAGTTTGTATATTTTATTTTTTTTTATTATTATTAAAATAATATATTACAATTACGTGTACATACGAGGGAAAATCAGTTTTATTTATTATTGGGAAATATACTGTGGAATAATTTGGTAATTAAACTTATTAACAAAAATGAAAATGTACAAATTGAAATTCATTGTGGTATAATACGTAAGCGCGACGCTTTATACAACGAACGAAATACCTGCATGTTTTCCGGTACACAGTTATTTCGGGGGCAGAGCGAAACATCTCGTTCCGGAATTAAACCAGCAGCGTTCGTGATTCTTAAGCGGATAACTTATCGGTTTATCGCCGATCGATATAACTTTCTCGACGTAATTGCCCCAATCTCAGTGTACCAATGCACCTCGTCTCTCGTTCCACGACGCCATCGCTAAATTCCATCATCCTTCCGTGCATACGAACTTTGGAAGCCAAACAACCTTTCTCCGTTCCTGTTTACCCCAGTCCCTTCGCTTACTCTCGTGACGGAATAAAAAGAACCGGCAATCTCTCGCAGGACGTGAAAAATGTTGCTCGTTAGCTAACGACATTAGTAGCCTTGCCATTTCTTCGCGTACAATAAAGAATGAAACTGCCTGTGCAAGGCCTTCTAAGCTTCTGAAAGGGAACATTGCTGTGAATCGAGCCAGGTCGAATCACATCGCGTCGTGTCATGTCATGTCATCTTCGTGCCACTACGTCACGCGTCCATCCCGTTCGCCGTCATTATATTTCATTGGATCTCTCGCGCGAGATTCAAGTGGTAAGCATACCAAATACGTAAAGCACGACCCGTCCGTTCCGTTCGACCTCGCTGATGTTAATTGATCGCCTCTCCAATTAGAGTGTCGACGGTGGAAGGAAAGGGACGGGGGTAACGACGGCAGAAGGATGGAAGCGGTCCGTTCAAAGAGAAAGGTAGAGAATGATGGCTTTAACGAAAATCGCGCCGTTCATGATGATTGGATAAGGGAAGGGGATGAAAGGGGGAGAGTCGTAGTGCGCGCGAGGCACTTAATTATCGACAATTGCAAATAAAACGCTGCGGTTGAAACGACACGGTGGAATGGCGGGACACGCCCGGGTCACGAATTTCCATTCTTACGAATGACTTTTCCAGTAATTATTCCGATAGTTTAATCCAACGGGTTGTCTCGCGTTCTCCTTTGAAATTGCTCTGCATGCTGCCCTGTCGCCGTATAGTCGAAAGCTTTTTCCGGCGTCCGCGCAGCACATATGCTTAATATTAACAATAATTACCGAGAAAAACAAACCGTGGATTATATGGCTTTGAAGTCGATTAACTTCAATGAGAATCTTACTTGAACTGGAACACGAAAAGGAGAAAAAAAAGTGGAAAAGGACGAATTAATGACAGATGTGGCGTGGCTGAAACGTGGTGTCCAAGCGTATTAATTAACGTATTTATTAAATTACATTATTACAGCAAACTGTCAGGATAGTTGAGAGCACACATTCTGTATCTCAACTATACGAATATATAGCGTACAACGTATGCTTTCCTAGATTTGTAAACAGTACTACGAGCAAACATAAATGCATTGACCTTGCAGAAGTAAACACAATTGTCGCTGCGAATTGAAATCAACGTTGCACAAGCTCCTGCACATTGAACAAAAGTTGATTAGTTTCAATGTTTATTTTCTACGAATATATATATAATTATGATAAACAGTAAAAAAAATTAACAAATATATTTCTTTTGTATTCATCGTATTTTAGTTTCGGTCAATTTACACAAATGCCTGTTTAATATATCAAAGTTGTAGGAAAACTGTATTTGTAACTGTATTGTTCTTGTCCTAATCTATCGAGGGAATATTGACGTTCACCTTTGTCCCGTAATCTCAATTGTTTCCGGTTGTCACCTGAGAATGTTGCACGACCTGCGCGCGCTGTCATCCCACGGGTATTAATTAGAAAAAGTGTAGTTTTGCCTCGTGCGGCAATGTCGATGCACGCGCGAGAGAATTAATATCGCTTTCGAACTCTCGACATTTCGACGGAGCGTGCAAGTGACAAGAGCTCTCCAGGTTTTGTGGGAACGCCGTTCGGACGACATTCCAATACGTCAAATCCGGAGAGCATCGCACGGAAAGTCCGACCGCTTGGCCGATTATTTTTCCAGTTATTACTCGCGGACAGGCTTTACCGATATCTCGATTCACCATTTACGCCCGTTTGTTTCGAACACAGTTTGACGTAAAACGACTTTCTATTGCGTTGCATACTGTAACGGATGTTCAATCTCCACGCTGATGATCAGCGCGAATTTAAGCGCTCGCTCGTTTATCAATATCAAATTTCAGCGATTAATTGATATGTATTTTTTATTTATTATCATTGAGTTTTATCTACACTATGTGTGCAAAAATCACGATTATTTATTCGCTGCGTTTTTGCTTAATATGAAAGATTTGTTTACACATCGCGAATATTTTATATTGAAACTCGTTGGTAAAACCAATGCTAATAACAATGATAAACGTGGATGAAATTAACACAGTAGAATGAATCTTTAGCTTCTATAATTAACTTTGAAATTCTGCTCTCTCTATTGCGTCGAAATTGTGCACATGTTTAAATTTACATATTTAATCGCGTATATTGTAATTAAGATAAATTGTTATATTTATTTGCTGTCTTAAAATTGTTACATTGTTATTGTAATTATTTAGACATTAGTGTAACTTTTGATTATATAATAATTAATTGAGAAAACAATCTTATATATAAAGTAAAATTAAATCAAACTGCGTAATGTGAGACTATAATCTTCAGTTCATTTTGAATAAAATTGACAATTAATTTTAACAGAATTTTAATATCAAGGTTACATATTAGTAACGGATGTTAAACACTAGAATATTATAAGAAAGAATAATATGTTTAAACATCTTTGTTAGAAAAATAACTTTCTTTAAAAGTTTATAAGCCAGAGGAATAGAGTGATAATTATCTAGAAAATCTATTTCTTTTTTTTATAAAATCTGTTTAAAAAAAAGAAAGCACAAAAAGTATACATATATTGTTCTCTCACGTAATTTAATTCACAAAGAGATTCATAGAAACATGCTGCAAAGTATCTTACTTTTTATCAAAAAATACATCTTTTCTTGGTTACTCTAACTTTGGTTACCGAATTTGTTTATCGTATTTTCAGAAATCGATAAGCCCACTACGCGCAAACCAGGCATGAGACGGGAGTCGAAGAAGACATGGAAGACCGATCACAACCATGAAAAAAAAGCCGCTGGTATGAAGGACGAGCCAATGCTGAAAGGTGATGATATTGGCGACGAGCAGATCGATTTTCAGTCGGCGACGGCCTCATCGGCGTTTCATCGCCATTTGCTTACAAATTTCGGAATAACTGCCATAACCGCGATATTGGTCGGTGGTTTATCCACGCAGGCCACCGTTGTTCAGTAAAAACTATACGTAAAGAAGATTAAAGTAATATAGAAAGAGTCTCTGGATGCGAGATTAAACATCGCGCGTGGCAAGCATTGCAACGAAGTAATGTCGATAAGAATAATGCTGCGAAGGGTCGCTGTTCTTGATAAAAAGTCTCTTCCTGTTGTACATGAAATTTGCATAAAGTGGACGTAGAATGAAGACCTGTTTTTATATAGAAGCATGAAGGGTCCGAAGTATCTGGTTGATCAGAGTGACCGGGGTACTTCGTGAGGGAGCGTAATTAACACATTGCAAGCCGAACGTGTACTAATAGACTTTCCTCTCTATCTAAAGACGTAGAAAGCCACCAATCTATTAACCCCTTTACGCTGAAGGCGTTAGAGTAGCTGGCTTTTACCGTTCCCATTCCGAGCGGTAACCTTGTTGACCTCGCCATCACTTGAAGAAGAAAGTCTGTAAATCAAATAAAAAGGGTACATATTATTTGCAATCGCACTTTCTGATAAGTTGTTAAAATAAATATTTTTTATTTGTTTTATATATTTATATGTGTGTGTATGTAAATATAATAGCATACAAATTTTATTTCAATCTACTTAAAAAAATCGCATTATTTTTTATTTTCGTATAAAATATAAAATGTCTGGTCTTTGTAATTTGATCAATCTTTAAATTACGGTAATAATATGGTTATTATGTTATTATTATATGTTATCTTTTTTACATACACACATATCGTAAGTATTGATGTAAATGTAAATATAAAGATATATCTTTCGTTACTTCTGCATCTCAAAATATTAACAGAGCGTACATAGCTTGCAATTTGCTAATAATGTCTAAGTATAAAGATGAGTAATGAAAGTACATTGTGTATATGTGGAATCCCAAATAATTTTTTACAAAAAGTTGTTTGTTATTTTTTAGAACCTGCAATATCTCTAGCATTATATTCGAAAGTTTATTTTTTATCATGAATACTGTAAATGTATTCCTGTTGCCTAATTTCATTTCAATTCAAATTATATATTAAATTTTTAATTATTTTGCTACGTTCTTCTGTTGTTAAAAATGTACATGTTAGAAAGTTAATTGTGTCTTTTATAGTATGTATCAATAAAAAATAATAAATACTTGTGTATATATGCAGCAAGAATAATAAGAAATTTGGAATGAGATGCAATGGAATTTAATTATTAGGAAGCTAATAATGTATAAATGAATATATACTTTAAATGGTAGAGTCTCCACAATAATGTTATTATATATTATATTAAATTATTTTATAAAGCTATTTGTGCAATATTTTTATGACAGATTCTACTGAGTTCCGTCTTGTTTCTTGGACACAGTAATAAAATACATCGTAAAAAAAAGATGTGCCTCATATTTTCATCGAGAAGAGAATTATTTTGTTTAGGTATGTCGCAATAACTTTTAAACAGGAAGAGTTGGATTTATGATGTTACGTTATAAGTGGTTATTTCAATAATTTATATGATGGCCAAAAGAAACTACTTTATTTTCCATTTTTTATAAAAAAATGGTATATGTCTTTCTTATTCAAGAATACGGCAATGTAATGATACTTTATAAAACCTGCTTATTGCATTATTATAAAGATTCTTTAGATTTTAGATGGTGTATCATTGTGATATCAAAGAAATATTAATTATGTTTCTTATCGATTTTATAATTATATACTTTATTATATAATTTAAATATATATACATATATATATGTATATGTGAGATTTTTTTATAACAGCAAAAACAGATTTATCGCATCATATAAAGCATTATATTATGACTAGAATTGTAACACATAATTTTACAGTTACATTTTATATTTATTCTGTTGTTCGAATATGTTTCCAATTTTTGTGTTTTCTGCGTGTTTAAGTAAAATTCCTAACTTAATGTAATCATTGCGTTTATGTTACAGAATGACAATAATTTTCTGAAAATTTCCGTCATTAACGGAATAATCAATAAAGTATTTTTAATTCGAATACCTCGAAACCATGGATATGGTTATAGTAATAGACTTATTACGTGTACTGTGTACATATAATATAAATAATATACACACATTTGTAGAAAGCATCAACAATGAAAGAGAGAAAGAAAAGGGAGAAGACAGAATTTTTCTCAAGTTTTCATGTATACAAACTTTAGTTCTAGATAAATTGAGTGTTTTAGATATATAAAAATAATGGTCATACACACATCAACGAACAGAGATAATATCTTAACGTAATATTTTCTAAGTTGTAGATCACATAAAATAAATTATTATAAAATTTACGAGTTTTTTACAAACAAAGCATATAATGTTGCAAAGATCCGTTAATAAAATCCATTTATAAATTATAATAGGTCACTCTGTATGTGTTTAAATTTTTGGTTTATATATGAAATATACATATGTATATTAAAAATATTGAAATGCTAAAATTTTGAATAGGTTAAGACTATAAGTAACGATTTTAAGTGTGAATATGTGTATTTTTATGTGAGATATTTTTATTAATTTTAATAGATGTGTATTAAATGTAGGTAAAAATAAGTAGACTCTGCTGTATAACAAATATTAATAATATACATTGTATAGAAAAAATAGCGAATATACAATATTTTCAATCGTTAAAGCAATTTACCAATGATTTATCAGTGGAGCTTTCATTTTATTTTCCTAACGAGTTTGTTATCGACCAATCACATGTTTTGCTAATCGATTACAAATTGCTAGTCAGGTTTAAATTTTTGAAATGGATCCATCAATTTTGCGATGCTGCTTGCATATGTTTGTGATGACCGCAAATGTGCTATGTACATATACGTAGACGTGTGATAACCGGTAAATTATTGTACGGCGTCGCATTTCTTCAATATATAGAGCTACTGGTATTGTATAATAATAGTATGTGTACGATATTGTAGAATAAGCCTCAGGGACATGTATATATGCTAAGCTGTAAGTTATATTAGTTTTTGCATTTGTGTGTGGTCACAATAACTCTTCCCTCCCATGTAAATATAATGTACCTTATCGTGTACTTGGGCAATAAATGTTAGACAATCGTGATAATTGTTCGAATTGTTGTCTTTGTCTTGTGGCTCATTTCATCATTATTTTGTGCATTGAGTCTCAAAAAGAAATTTATGATAGCGCAAATTTTATTAAATTGATTTTATCAAGCCGAGTAAAAAGAAGAGAGATTAATTGTATTTGAGTAAAAATATATTATGCAAAGATCATATTCTTCTGCTTATCACATTTGTTATTTATGATTCTGATTAATTTGAAGTTTATATAACAATGTTTTTGTAATACTTTTGTTATTAAATATTTTTTTTGCTATTCTTTAAATAAAAACGATGTTAAAATCAATTGCATTTAATGCTATATAAAAAACTAACTCATAAAATTTATTCATAAAAAAACTTTTATTATAATTTATTATTGATTATATAAATGTAATTAAAAAATTATTACATAAACAAAAATAGATAAATAAATACAGTAAATTAGAGTAAACCTGTGATACGCCTATTACAATTGTAGATAAGTAGAAATAAATGCGTATTTTTATGTTATATTAAACTCATATGTAAATTTAAGTTAGAAGACGATAATTAGCAAATTAGCAAATATTTAAATGTCTACAGATATATTATATAATATTTATGAATAAAAATTTACTTTTGAATACAAATAACAGATACAAATAATATTGAATCTCTATTATATCAATGACCGATATCTGTTCACCAACAAGTGGTAACTCTGACAAAGTAAATCTGGTTGCAAGAATATCGTTTGTATGTACTACTAGGTGCATCGACGGGAATTGTTACTTAAAAATTTCTCTCGTAGAGGGCAGATATAGATACAATTTCAATTTTTTGATCCTGAATTATCTGTATTCTTTTTAGGAAAATATATATACATAGATAGAAGAGCTATAAATTTTATTTTAGATACCACCTATACATAGAAAAAAATATTCTCTAATAAAAAATCTTTGATATAAACTTATTTAATGCTACATAAATAATCAGATTTTTCCTTACCAAATTTTCTCTTTTGTTCAATATTTCAGCATATTTATTAATACATGTCATTTACTTTAAATATATTACTTCATACAATATATATATAAAGTTACAAAGCTTATGATTAACTTAGAATTTATAGAGATATTAAACTTATGATTAAATTTATGACATAAACCTAATGTTTTGTATCAGACTTCTTGCAGTAAAGTTTAATATAAAAATAATTTTTTTTTCTGGAAATTTTGTGTTTTTATATTGATTTTTAATTTTAAAGTATTATTATGTCTAATCCTCGGCAAATTATTTTATGTATCAGTTAAAAGTACAACTTTTTAAAATATGTAGTACTTTCGGTACTTAATATTGTTAAAAGTTGACCTATCATCGATGAGATTAAAGATTCTGTCTTACCATTTTATATAAAATACAAGTACCAACGAGTTATAATGGTAGGGAGAAACTTACACTGGCACTTCTTTCTCATCCCATATATTCATTTTGCTTTGTTACGTTCTTCAGTTCATTCCGAAGCTACGTAAAATTCGGGAAATCGACTGTAACGAAGACCCGACGGTATAATAATGATATTCGGGAAAGAATTATTATGGAACTTGGCAGCGCACTTTGGAGTAACGAGGGGAAAAAAGGGCTTTTCTCCATAAGCTAGCTCGTACATCATCGGCACGAATCCCTTTGGACGGTTATAGAACGAAAGAGGCAGCGATAACAAAGGCGTCTACGTTGAGCGATACTAGATGCTTCGTAAACAAACGAGTCTTCTAATATTATATCGTATAATAAGATATATCTAGATATCTATACTACATCACTGGCTATTTTAGATAATAAATCTATTATATACTTTAATGATCTGAGAATATCCCGCGCGCACGCAAGCGTTAAATTTATAACTTTTATATATTTATAGTTGCTTTATAATTAATTTTGTATCATGTTTGGTTGTGCTCTCGTTTTTATCTTTTTATTAGTAAAATAATGTGCAAAAAAAACATATTTTTTTAAATTTGTACATTTCTTTTAGCAGTTTCATCGAAATATTATTTTCGCTAGATATTTTTATATATTTGCATATAAAATCAATATCGCGCATATCGTCAGTGATTATGATATATTTATTAAAGCTAAACATAGATTTACGAACAGATATGCAAAAATATAGTTTTAATGTGTACGTTTGTAAATATTTTTTAGTATTCAATTATCTTAGTAAAGTTAATTAAATTATTTTTCCGTGGATTACTTCATGCATTATTTGAACAGCTCTATTTCCATAATAATACTGAAATAATCTCTGAATGTAACAATTTCCAAATATGAAAAGTCATCAAATAATTTTCCGTTCTCTGTCGAGCTGTATGTTATTATAAACGGTAACGTTTTATGCGGATTTGAATTGCCAGTAGTACGAGTATAGCGCAAGGCAGACATTTCAGCTATTCGCTGTTGCTTCAGGAAACACAGTCTAAATGCAAATGATAACAGGAAACGATAAGAATCTGTACCGGCTCATCCAACAGTTCCATCCAGTACGTAGCGATTTCTCCATCTGCACAATTGTAAAGGGACATCCTTTAAACATGTTCGACGTGTTATTCTTCGATAGTATTATCGCAAAACTTACACGCGCACGTAGATCGCTCATCGTGTCCATATCGCCATAAGTACACAGGACCACGGTATAAAGCGCTCGAAGGAGCAGAGTCTTATACGAGTTGTTATTTTTATCGCTCGCGATGTTTTCATATTTCGCCCAAGGCTTGCTAATTTCATTTTATACTTACGTATTTTTCTAGACATTTTCCCCAGCTGCCGCAAGCGCTTTTCAAGTAAGTTCTCTTCAACTCTTTAAGATCAGCTAATTAGGCAATTCTTTTTTTTTTCTCGCTAGTAGAACAGAGTCGCGAATCGTCAAAGTACCTGGATTATCGCAAGCAGCTTCTGGAAATCTGTGATATTTTCTTTCTAGCCATAAGATAAAAAGATGTAGAAAGTTCTTAATTAAATGAAAGCAAATCCGTTATCATCATAATGAATACTAAGTATCGAACTGATTGAAATAGAATATTTATTTACGAGGTTTCATTTTCAATAATGTAATAAAATATCTCAATATATAATTAAGCGAGAGATATGTGTAAATTAAATTATTAAATATCTATTACTATCTTTATACTTTTTTATTTTAACTTTTTAACTTTTTTCCGAGATTGTCTAAAATATTTTTGCTTTATTCCATTTTTACTGATGACCAATTAATTGAATCGTAAATAAAAAAATAGTGTAAGTCAATATTGATCAAAAGTTTTATTGATAATAGTTTTTGTACATTATTTTAGATAAACAAGATTAAAATTTTATTTTTTTGTAGAATCATAAATACTACGAAAAGCTGGTTTAGTGTGTATGTAGAGAATGGAAAACGCTCCATATACTTTCGAAATCAAATAAATCAATTAAATTTTGTTGTATTTTTAAAAATAGGACAGCAGTGATTTATATATACAAGCGTTTAATCTATCAGCGCCTCTCTGTTCGCATCTATAATTTACTTTTACAATTAATTAATAATGTACTGAATAGCTTTGTATAAAATTGGCGTTGGTATTAATGTTTCATTTAAATCCATTGAGGTTTATTTTCTTTCTAGCTTGCGTCATTTTCCAGCATTTACCACGTATAAGTTTTCATTTCATCGAGCTCACACTCCACAATCTTTCTCAAGATAATCAATTGCCAACGTCGCATAGCGCAGCAAATACTATTGTCACAAAGGTACGACGTCTGTGTGCGATTTAACCTCGTACAGACCGCTTTACGGAGCACCCTTTTTGCCTCGTTTGCGAAAACACGACCCTTCTCGTATTCGAAAGCTCCGGATATCTTTAGCCAAATCGTAACTATTCCTTGCAGTACTCGAGGAATAAATTGTCCAGCCTCGTTCTTCTTCCCTTTGGCTGACCATGCTGTTGCCAAATGTGAATTTGTGTGCTTGCAATGTAGAATTTACATTTACCTTCTCTTTGCTTAGGACAGAAACGCTCTTTTGCATAGTGCATTAAACAAGTAGTTATTAAAAATAATAAAAATTGATAACGGCTATGTGTAATTTCTATAAATACTGCGATAGAGTAAAAAAGAAAAAGTCTTTATTCATTAAAAACAGAGAGCGAAAGAAACGTTGAGTTTTTATCAATCCTAGAGGTTTAAGTTTTTAGATATAAAAATCGTTGCAAAAATATAATGTTTAAAAAAATAGCATGTAAATTTTATATCTATGGAATAATTTAAAAAGTGGTATCATGCATGAGTTGGTTGAAAAATAAAAATAATTTTTCACGTTTACTTTTACGCGAAAGCGCAGAAGGGTGATTAAAATCGAAAATCATGCTGCAAGTTTTTCACAGGCATTGCCTAACGGGTTTAGACGAAGTCATTAAAAATATGGCTATGAGGAGGATAGTAGTAACGATCCGGTGGAAGAGCGATATGGACCGTGCAAAACTAAATTATTCCACCCGTTACCGACCCTGCTTACGAATAACAACTTGTCAACGCGTGAAACAGTTTCGCTATGAGAATACATTGTCATGGATGAAACATGGCGGATACCATCATAGAAATATTAGCAAACAAAAGGAATTATTGCTGCAATTACTATTGTAAATTTCCTAGTAAAATATAAGTTAGTAAAGCAACATTATGAGAAATAACTCAGATACTTGTTTTCTGAAGAGATGCCTTAAATTAAAAATATTTAATATAAATGTGTATATATATATATATATATATATATATATATATATATATATATATATATATATAATTAAATAAAAATAAATAATAATATATAATATATACATATATAATAATATTT